ATCCAATATATTATATGTCCCTGTAGGCTTTTTTTTTTTGTGAAGACTGGCGTTGGCCCATATGGGGCATTGTGATGCAACATGGACATATGGGGGGGGGACGGCAAAAATCCTTGCACCGGCCCTGCTAACAATGGTAACTAACAAAAAACAGTACACAGACCTGGTATAAATCATTTTATTTTTAACTTAGCACACGTTCTTTCTAGGCCAGAGGAACTCCCAAAAAATGAAAGCCCTATAACTACATTTAAATATATATACTTCTGCCTTACTGTCTGTGATGCTTTTTGATCAGCTTACTAATTAACCAGAGTAGCTTTTACTGACCATATCTAAATTATCATTTACTTCAGCTTGACATAAATTGACTAATCTATTGAATGTGTTACTCTGCTGATATCATTTACTGATGATCTACCTTAAATCCATTCACATCCTAATGTGGGGTTTATTTAATCAAACTATTCTACTCTCTGTATATCTAATACTGAAATGCTGAATTAAAAGTAAATAAAGAAAAATAAAATAAATCTGCAAATATTTGTGTTTGTTTTTCAACATTAAATCTAGTATTTTTCATGCATCATATGATTGGTTATGCAAATTAATCTCCTGCTTTCCAAATGCCTATTCAGAACTTGGCATTAGGCTAATTTGCATGAAAAGCCTTATGATCCATGAAAAACTCCAAATCTACTAGCTTAAAAACCAATAGCACCTTTAGATTTACGATTAAGGCAACCTCTGAATTTTTTCAAATATCTGTAAATAAAAAACAAACATTACATCATCCACTTGATGATCTAATTCAGTATGTGTCACAAATATATAATATGAGGTCCTGATTATTTGGTATTTTAGTTACTTAAGCCTCTTCACTGGAAGTGGCCACATTTATGTCACTGAATGTTATGGAATTCTACTGAACTATTCCTTTAATTATATGAGCTTTGTGTATAGTCCATTCCTCTGCAGGCTAACTAATCAATAATCCTTTTGGGGGGGATAAATGCCGCCATCACATCTCCCCTTCCTTGGACTCGTACAGCCACCATGAAAGAAAGATTTAATTTTCAATCAGATCTTTCAGCACAGTTTGTTTACATTCAAAGTTTATTTCTACTGCTCTGCTCTGTTAACCCCTTAAGGACGGAGCCATATGTACACATTGTGAATGAAACAAAATGTAAACAAAACCTGGCATTTGCGCTACATGTCTGTCCAACCGTAATTCACTTATTTCATAGTAAATGCACCCACCCTTATTATACATCATTTTATTCAGGGGAAACAGGGCTTTCATTTAATATCAAATATTTAGATGTGAAACATAATTTAATATGAAAAAAATGGGAGAAAATAAGATTTATTTTTATTTTTTTAGTTCTACATGACATTTTAACTGTCAATGTCATAATACTGTTTGCTTTTACTGCAATAAAATACACATATTGTTATTCAGCAAAATCTCACGTGTAAAACAGTACCCCCTATGTACAGGTTTTATGGCGTTTTGGGAAGTTACAGGGTCAAATATAGCACGTTACATTTGAAATTAAAATTCGCCAGATAGGTTACGTTGCCTTTGGGACTTTATAGTAGCCAGGAATTAAATTTACACCCATAATGGCATACCATTTGCAATAGTAGACAACCCAAGGTATTGCAAATGGGGTATGTCCAGTCTTTTTTAGTAGCCATTTGGTCACAAACACTGGCCAAAGTTAGCATTAGTATTTGTTTGTGTGAAAAATGCAAAAAAACGCCAATTTTGGCCAGTGTTTGTGACTAAGTGGCTACTAAAAAAGACTGGACATACCCCGTTTGCAATACCTTGGGTTGTCTACTATTGCAAATGGTATGCCATCATAGGGGTAATTTTCATTCTTGGGCTACCATAGGGTCTCAAAGGCACCGTAACCAATCTGGCGAATTTTAATGTGAAAAAAATGAAACGCAAGCCTTATATTTGACGCTGTAACTTTTGAAAACACCATAAAACCTGTACATGAGGGGTACTGTTGTACTCGGGAGACTTCGCTGAACACAAATATTTGTGTTTCAAAACAGTAAAAAGTATCACAGCAATAATATCGTCCGTGTAAGTGCTGTTTGTGCGTGAAAAATGCAAAAAACTTCACTTTTACTGGCGATATCATCGTTGTAATACATTTTACTGTTTTGAAACACTAATATTTGTGTTCAGCGAAGTCTCCCGAGTAGAACAGTACCCCCCATGTACAGGTTTTATGGTGTCTTGGAAAGTTATAGGGTTAAATATAGTGCTAGCCAATTAAATTCCCTTTACTTTCGGCATGGGTTGTCATGCAGGTCCCGCTAATTGTAATTAATTAAAAAAACCTAATTATGTAAAAATATTACATAAATATATATGTAGAATTAATATATGTATATATATACATATGTGAATCTATATGTGTATATCTATATAATTTTAAAAAAATATTTTTATTTACATATAGGTATATATATAGTGATATATACGTATATATTTATGTATGTAGATATATATATTATTTCGTTCTATGTGTATTTTGATATAAATATATATATATTAATATCACAATACAGTTAGAATGAAATAACACACATCTATATATTTTTTAACTAATTTTTTTAAATAATTTTTTTTATTTTATTTTTTAACGTATTTACATATTTAATTTTTTTATATTATATATAAATATATATATAACAATATATATATATATATATATTTAACCAGTATCAATCTACGTGTAATTTGATATTAATATATATATATAATTATATATATATTAATAGTAAAATACACCTAGACGGTGTACGTGTGTGTATGTATATGTGTATATATATACTTAGATCATATATATATATAATATATATATATGATCTATGTATATATATATTTTTTTTTTACACTAATACATTTTATTTTCATTTTATTTCCAGCCAGCAGGGGGACCACCTGTAATTACAGGCAGCCCCCCTGCTGGCAATACAGAAGCCAGCTATCCCCGGCCATGTGATTGTGGGGTCCTCGCTAGGACCCCACTCTCACATGGCCGGGGGGCTTCGACGAGGACGGACGTGCCGCGGGGGCTGCCTGGGAGTCCCCCCCACCGCGATCGCCGGCGTGGGACCACCGGCGACCGGGTAAGTAGGCAAAAACCGGAGGGCGTACAATTATGCCCGGCGGCATTTAGAGCCACCTATAATAGGGCGTAATTGTACACCCTCCGGTCTAAAGGGGTTAAATGATCTTTAATCACACATGGGAGGCTTTTGTTAGCTTTAGCAAGTAACTAACAGAACAGGGGATAAGAAATACTAAACAAAACTTCCTTTTGCTTAAAGTGTGTATTGAGATTGTATGAAAATGAGCCAGGGAAAGCGTGGCTGGTGCTGCATAAAAAAATTGATTTAACACTCAAATGGCAGAGACTTGAGTGTAATGGCATGAGCTATACATCAGAATGGCTTCATTAGGCTAAAGTTGTTTTGGTGCATATAATAATATGTGATATCCATTACAACAATTGGTCCTGTGCTGGGGAAGACTGATTTAATTGGTCCGCAATACAGGACTGATTGTTGTGGTAAATTTAATATATTTTTACGATTCAAGGCAGTTGGCTAGACTCCTGTTGTTTCCTTATATTATCTTTTTTTATTACTTTTATTAGAACACACCTTGCATTTACTAGAACACACCTTGCATTTTCTGGTTTTGTTTCTAAACTATATGATTGTTGAACTAGTCTTAAATGCTGGTTAGAGATCATACTACTCCCTTGAATTGCATTGAGTCACTAATGATGATAGCACAGGCTTCAAATAGAGAGCTTTTTCTTTCCATACATGGCGATAATGTATCAGGTCAAAAGTATAGCTATGCAATATACAATGTGACTGGTTGTGATTGCCATTCCTTTTCTCAAGTTTTCCTTCCAAGCTTCCAAGAATTTGCTAATAAAATTGGTACTCAGGAGGTTATAAATTAACAGTTTATTACAAATGCGACCATGTCCAATAATTTTCATAAGGAATATTTTTTTAACTCTTTTACAGCTGAGCTGTGGAGCTTTCAGAGCACATTGTAATTTCCAAGATCTCATCAAATGATCACATGTGAATGTTATTAACACAGTTTAATTTATCAGAATGATTAAATCATATGTTCAGTCACATGTGAAGATGTCATACTGTTCCTTATGCATTTGTCAGATGGGCAGAACACATTTGAATGACCTAGACTTTAACGTATGGATGGACAGACAGACAATTTCTGACCCAGCCTTTATTTCTTTTCATTATTTCAATACATAGATAATTCCTGGCATTCTCATTCTTTAAGCTGAATTTAATGGGCAACGGCTGCTTAATTAAATGGACACTCCCCTGTCAGTTGTTTAGTAGATAAACTCCCAGTGAAAGAATGCGTGAATTTAATTATACACTGCATATCTCTTGTCTGCAGCCTTGGCAAAACCTTCCCTTTTTCCCCATACCACACAGCTCAGTGTGAAGTCTTTGCAAGGCAGGTGCTCTGAGCAGTTGCCTGCCTCTTGAGTTTAGCTCCACTGAGATAAACTACTAGGAAGTAACATAATTGGTTGTCTGACTGACAGCCATGGGGGTGTAACCAGGATAAGTTAAAAAGTGCCAATTTTAATTGAAAGCTGTGCTTTTTGTAAAATTAAAAAGAGGACACATTCTTCACACAAATAGAACTTCACCAAGCAAAAGTGCTTTAGGTCTTTGGAGTGTCCCTTTAACAATAAAATGCAGTTCTCCTTGAATGTATTATGGAATAATTATTCTTATAGTAGTATACAATTTGCTTGAATAACTCTACATATCTCCTATATCTGGATGATCTTGAATATACAATTTTGCTCTAAAGTAAAGCTGGTGTAGCAATTCATGGTTATCTTACTTCGCTTAGACATAGTGCAATTTCCCAAAATGTTGTGATTCCAGTAAAAAAAAGCATGTTTTAATATTATTGTAAGTTTATTAAATATGATGTTGAGTTTCACAAACATTACAAATAAAACACTTTCTATATTCCATAGTTGGTTTATTCAGCATAGTCATGTTGACAAAATGTATGCCTAATGTATTAGTTAAGTTGTATTTGCAGGTAAGCAGCAATAAGGGAAATACATTAATACAGAAAGTTCCAGGTCAATGAGACCTAAGCTTGACAGCCCAATTGTATGTGAAAAACATTTCCCATGATGCTCAACTAGCATAAAGGGCTTGCCAAACATAATTGGGACCATAGATTAAAAAAAACAAAAAAAAACAAAGTTGAATTTCAGGTTATTAGCCTGTTCTATGTAACAGACCTTACAAAAACAGAATATCAGAATGTGGTCTTACATGTAAATTTATTAAAACCGCAAATGTTCAAGTTCTTTTTGCAGAGTACTGGTTTATCAGACTACTGCAAGGCCAGCAACCTAGTTAATTGTTGGTTATACCAAATTTAGATACATGCCATATCTTCTTCTCCTCAACTTTAAAATGACAATCATCACAGTAAATGGATCTTGGATCTTGATTTTCTGTTTCATCACACCAGCCTCTCTCTCATCAAATCAGAAATTCTGTATGTTGAACTTCTTGCCAGGGAACCATGAATTCTTTAAAACTGCTAAAGAAATAAATAAGAGAACAGAGTTGTAATAATTGTGTCTGTGTACAAATCAAACTTTCTTTTGTTCTAAAGTGGAAATGAGATGTGCTTTCTGTTCAGTTTTCTGATCTGCTTCATAGTGGAAGTGTCATGCCTTTGTTTCTAGCATAATAAAAAATCATTTTAAAAATCCCTCTATAGGTTACTTTATTTGACAGTTCAGATTTATTGCCGACACTTCACTTTGAAGATAATCCCACTTGGATATTTTTTCGTAGGGAGATCAGATATCTAACTCACAGTAGCAAGCGATAAGAGTGGGTTATTTGTACTAAATCTAGGTGAATTAATGTAACATTGAGTCAGATATTGCCAATCTTTTTTAAAGTCGCGCTATAGAGTTAGATTTAATCGATCTTTTCAGTGACTGTATATTATTATTATTTATAAAGCGCCAACACATTCTGCAGCGCTTCTCAGTGCAGTGAGACGCGCGGAAGCCCCTCTAGGGGCTGTCAATGAGACAGCCACTAGAGGTTGGATTAACCCATATGTAAACATAGCAGTTTCTCTGAAACTGCTATGTTTACAGCAGGCAGGGTTAACCCTAGATGGACCTGGCACCCAGACCACTTCAATGAGCTGAAGTGGTCTGGGTGCCTATAGTGGTCCTTTAACCCTTGTATCATAACTCAAGTTTGAATTCTATATATATGAACTTGAGCTTTTGTGATTGCTTCTCTTTCATTTTAAAATTAAACTTACAGAAGGTTAAGAAATACTTAAATAACAGTTATTGGTCATTCCTGTATGTACGGTTTTGTTTTACGTGATGGTCTCTGTACATCAGTTTGGATATCATGCTTTTCCTCACTGAACATATCTGAGTCACTCTGCTGAAAGCCATTGTAATGGCACGTTGGTTTCATTCTAGTGCTCTCACGGCAGCAGTGCAAGAGAGGTGTGTGCACTGAAGAGAGGCATAACCCTTCAACTGCAGCCACTGAAAAATGGGATTCAATGCAAAACAAACCTCTGGTGTACAGAGAACCTGAAGGTGTGGGGTGCATAGCCGATACTCTAGTCAACCCTTCCTAATGGCGGACATGTTTAAACCTCTGATTAAACAAAGTTAAATCTTATACATGACAGGGAACATAAGAGAAGTAAAGACAAACAAAGCAAAGACTGGGTTGCAAGTTTTCATTTATTTTTCATGAATTTCAAGTTCAGCACTAGAACCACTTTCTGATATTTTGTATCATTTACATGACTTGAGAAAACCACCACATGGCTATTGCTACAACGGGAAATAGCATGGACTGATTGCCTGGACCCAGTCAGATTGCAGTACAGTATTGTGGCTTGTCCTCTAGAAATGGATTGTAAGGGTTTCTATCTTACACAGTGATTTTAATACTGTGCAGCTGAAACATTGAAGGTGCACGGTAATAGCAGAAACTCACATCTATTTGAAATATTACAGCATGGGAATTGTACTTTGTAGGAAGTATAAAATGTACATTTACTAGATGTACGGTTTCAATGTATTTATTAAACTCATAACTATGGTAAGTATCTTTTAGTTTAACTAGAAAAATACTGACATTGTTAGATGACGCATACCACATGTTACTTTGCAAATGGCATGCTATTTTTCTATTGTCGGACAGGATTCACAACATTTTAGCAAAGCACAATCATAGAGGTTAATAATAGATTCAAATGGACAAAATATAGACAAACAAATAAAATATGATCACAATTACAAATTGATTTACCATAGAAAAGTGACAAACATAACCAAATTGTTACTAATCAAAAATGCATAGGCCAGTAATAAAATACTGTGTTATATACATATATATATATATATATATATATATTTGTTTTATCAGGGGGATGATCAAGTACTAAAGCTTATTGCAGTGGTTATAGTGCTAGGAGTTTATATATAGCAAGAATGTTGTCAATTGTCTATCAAACCTGTGTCTTATCTGTACTCATGTTGCTTTAAAGGACCACTATAGTGCCAGGAAAACTAACTCATTTTCCTGGTACTATAGTGTTAATAGGTCCCACCCTCAGGGTCCCACTCACGCCGGGCTGAAGGGGGAGGAAGGGGTTAAAATCTTACCTTTCTTCAGCGCGGGGCTCCCTCGCCGCTGGGGACTCTCCTCCTCCTTCCGACATTATCTGCTGAATGCGCATGCGCGGCAAGAGCTGCGCGCGCATTGAGTCGGTCCATAGGAAAGCATTTCTCAATGCTTTCCTATGGATGCTGGCATCTTCTCACTGTGGAAATCACAGTGAGAAGCGCGGAAGCGCCTCTAGGGGCTGTCAATGAGACAGCCACTAGAGGTTGGATTAACCCATATGTAAACATAGCAGTTTCTCTGAAACTGCTATGTTTACAGCAGGCAGGGTTAACCCTAGATGGACCTGGCACCCAGACCACTTCAATGAGCTGAAGTGGTCTGGGTGCCTATAGTGGTCCTTTAACCCCTATCATAACTCAAGTTTGAATTCTATGTGTCATCTTGCTCAGAAATGCTTCAGACTTGAGAAAGGGAGGTTCTCCCGAAAGCTTGTCATTAAAAAATTCTGTTAGTCCAATAAAAAATGTATTACAAGATCTGAATGTTATCTGTTTTTTACATCTACATCACTGGACTAATACAGCTACAGTCTCTACTATATATATATATTATTAAACCATTTTCAAGTAGTTTGTCAAAAGACGAAGGATTCTACAATAGCCTATGCCTAGCCTTTCTGTTGAAGCTGTCAAGTTCACCTCATTATGTGTCCATCATTTTTGTATTGCATGCAGCGCAAAGGAATTGTGAGAGGTAAACTTGGTACTGGAAGGGTACTGGGCAGAACAGGAGCTGGTACAGGAGGATACTCAGCATGGGCATGGAATAACTGTTCATATCTTTAAAATATTTTGGATACATAAATTAATGTTGTCGCTATGATTTCTCCCTTTACAAGGCTGCATATAGGGAGCTGTGAAATCATGCAATGCTTGCTATTCTGTTTGGAAACAGGTTGCCAAAAACCTAAGAAGAACTTAATTCACCAACTACTTCCAGTGCAATAGGCTGTGTGATTATGGTACTTGGAATGTCTCTTTAAGAATATTCTATATATTCAAAGCTATAACCATACATGTCATTAACCACTTAATTGATAATACATATTCTTAAATTAATTGTAACCATGACTGACGGTGAACAATAGTCTAAAATGTCTCTTGTTTACAAATGGTTATCATCAAGCTTTCAAAGATATTACAGAAAGCTCCCTACAGGTGATACTTGAAACATTTGAATATTGTGCAAAAGTTCATTTATTTCAGTAATGCAACGTAAAAGGGGAAACTAATATATGAAATAGATGCATTACATGCAAAGCAAGATAGTTCAAGCCGTGATTTGTCATTAGTGCACTGATTATGGCTCATGAAAATCCCAAATCCACAATCTCAGTAAATTAGAATATTGTGAAAAGGTGCAATATTCTAGGCTCACAGTGTCCCACTCTAATCAGCTAAGTAAGCCATAACACCTGCAAAGGGTTTCTGAGTCTTTAAATGGTCTCTCAGTCTGGTTCAGTAGGAATCATAATCATGGGGAAGACTGCTGGCCTGACAGTTGTGCAGAAAACCATCATTGACACCCTCCATAAGGAGGGAAAACCTCAAAAGGTAATTGCAAACAAAGTTGGATGTTTCCAAAGTGCTGTATCAAAGCACATTAATAGAAAGTTATGTGGAGGGGAAAAGTGTGGAAGAAAAAGGTGCACAAGCAGCAGGGATGACCGCAGCCTGGAGAGGATTGTCAGGAAAAGGCCATTCAAAGGTGTTGGGGACTTTCACAAGGAGTGGACTGAGGCTGAAGTCAGTGCATCAAGAACCACCACACACAGACGGATCCTGGACATGGGCTTCAGATGTCGTATTCCTCTTGTCAAGCCGTTTCCTGAACAACAAACAACGTCAGAGGCGTCTTACCTGGGCTAAAGAAAAACAGACCTGGTGGTCCAAAGTCCTCTTTTCTGATGAGAGCAACTTTTGCATCTCATTTGGAAACCAAGGACCCAGAGTCTGGAGGAACACACTGCAAGATGCTTGAAGTCCAGTGTGAAGTTTCTGTGTCTGTGTTGATTTGGGGAGCCATGTCATCTGCTGGTGTTGGTCCATTGTGCTTCATTAAGTCCAGGGTCAACGCAGCCATCTACCAGGAGATTTTGGAGCACTTCATGCTTGATTCCGCAGATGAGCTTTATGGGGATGCTGACTTAATTTTCTAGCATGCCAAAAGCACCAAAGCCTGGTTCAATGACCGTGGGATTACTGTGCTTGATTGGCCAGCAAACTCGCCTGACCTGAATCCCATAGAGAATCTATGAGGCATTGCCAAGAGAAAGATGAGAGATATGAGACCGAACAATGCAGAAGAGCTGAAGGCCGCTATTGAAGCATCCTGGTCTTCCATAACACCTCAGCAGTGCCACAGGCTGATAGCTTCCATGCCAAGCCGCATTGAGGCAGTAATTGCTGCAAAAGGGACCCAAACCAAGTACTGAGTCTATATGCATGCTTATACTTTTCAGAGGTCCGATATTGTTCTATGTACACTGCTTGTTTTATTGATTGCATGTAATATTCTAATTTACTGAGATTGTGGATTTGGGGTTTTCATGAGCTGTAAGCCATAATCATCGTACTTATGACAAATCACGGTTTCAACTATCTTGCTATGCATGTAATGCGTCTATCTCATATATTAGTTTCCCCTTTTACGTTGCATTACTGAAGTAAATGAACTTTTGCACGATATTCTAACTTTTAAAGTATCACCTGTATATAATATACTCATCGAATATAGAAAACAAATCCCAGGATGAGATAACAGTTTTAAAGAAAGGGCCTTACTTTAGCTTCTAAAAATGTTCAGAATCTCCGTTGAAGATAAAGAAAACAAATACAAGACTTATACTAGAGAAATTACCAGATTCTACCTCCACCTGAAGAGATGCAGCCCAAACTGCACATCAGGGGAATCTAAAATACTGCTGTTCAAATGACGGACTGTAGGGCCACAGGACATAAAATAATTTAGTAAGGGATGAAGAACCTTGTACCATGTAATCCAAGAGTAGTTACTGTACTGTTAGTGTCTAGTTTAAATAATGTATTATCAATATTATTTGCTATAGCAAGTGTACATAGATTGAGTGGTGAGGAAAACATTGAAGAAAAAGAAACACATATTCACAGATATGCACTGGATTAAGGATCATTGGCATGAATTCTTCAGGCAAGAGCTCTTGATTTGTTAAATGCATAGAAAAGAATAAAGGGAACACAAAAAATAGTGCAAAATGGGTACATATGATACAAAGGGTAACCTAAGCCTGAGAATAATATTATATGCAGCACTTGCCAGCATCCTACTCTCTAGGAAATTTTACTACTATTGAATAAAATAAAGACATATATAAAGCTTCTACAGGGAGTGCAGAATTATTAGGCAAGTTGTATTTTTGAGGATTAATTTTATTATTGAACAACAACCATGTTCTCAATGAACCCAAAAAACTCATTAATATCAAAGCTGAATATTTTTGGAAGTAGTTTTTAGTTTGTTTTTAGTTATAGCTATGTTAGGGGGATATCTGTGTGTGCAGGTGACTATTACTGTGCATAATTATTAGGCAACTTAACAAAAAACAAATATATACCCATTTCAATTATTTATTATTACCAGTGAAACCAATATAACATCTCAACATTCACAAATATACATTTCTGACATTCAAAAACAAAACAAAAACAAATCAGTGACCAATATAGCCACCTTTCTTTGCAAGGACACTCAAAAGCCTGCCATCCATGGATTCTGTCAGTGTTTTGATCTGTTCACCATCAACATTGCGTGCAGCAGCAACCACAGCCTCCCAGACACTGTTCAGAGAGGTGTACTGTTTTCCCTCCTTGTAAATCTCACATTTGATGATGGACCACAGGTTCTCAATGGGGTTCAGATCAGGTGAACAAGGAGGCCATGTCATTAGATTTTCTTCTTTTATACCCTTTCTTGCCAGCCACGCTGTGGAGTACTTGGACGCGTGTGATGGAGCATTGTCCTGCATGAAAATCATGTTTTTCTTGAAGGATGCAGACTTCTTCCTGTACCACTGCTTGAAGAAGGTGTCTTCCAGGAACTGGCAGTAGGACTGGGAGTTGAGCTTGACTCCATCCTCAACCCGAAAAGGCCCCACAAGCTCATCTTTGATGATACCAGCCCAAACCAGTACTCCACCTCCACCTTGCTGGCGTCTGAGTCGGACTGGAGCTCTCTGCCCTTTACCAATCCAGCCACGGGCCCATCCATCTGGCCCATCAAGACTCACTCTCATTTCATCAGTCCATAAAACCTTAGAAAAATCAGTCTTGAGATATTTCTTGGCCCAGTCTTGACGTTTCAGCTTGTGTGTCTTGTTCAGTGGTGGTCGTCTTTCAGCCTTTCTTACCTTGGCCATGTCTCTGAGTATTGCACACCTTGTGCTTTTGGGCACTCCAGTGATGTTGCAGCTCTGAAATATGGCCAAACTGGTGGCAAGTGGCATCGTGGCAGCTGCACGCTTGACTTTTCTCAGTTCATGGGCAGTTATTTTGCGCCTTGGTTTTTCCACACGCTTCTTGCGACCCTGTTGACTATTTTGAATGAAACGCTTGATTGTTCGATGATCACGCTTCAGAAGCTTTGCAATTTTAAGAGTGCTGCATCCCTCTGCAAGATATCTCACTATTTTTGACTTTTCTGAGCCTGTCAAGTCCTTCTTTTGACCCATTTTGCCAAAGGAAAGGAAGTTGCCTAATAATTATGCACACCTGATATAGGGTGTTGATGTCATTAGACCACACCCCTTCTCATTACAGAGATGCACATCACCTAATATGCTTAATTGGTAGTAGGTTTTCGAGCCTATACAGCTTGGAGTAAGACAACATGCATAAAGAGGATGATGTGGTCAAAATACTCATTTGCCTAATAATTCTGCACTCCCTGTATGTGAGCAATGTGTTAGGAACATTATCCACAGCAATATACATATATTTGATAAATTACCTTGGAGATGAAAAAATCTTAAAATAAGTTGATATAGTCATGCAATTTAACGGTCACCTTTTCTATAGAAAAACAACAACCATTTTTGGTATAATTGTAAGGTGTGGGTGAGGGAATCCCCCACAGGTGTTTTCGAGTTTACATTCACTGAGTCTTGTATTTTGTATCTGTATAATTGTACCTTTTCTATAGAAGCCCAAAAGCATATTTACTAAATGTTATTAAAGGGTCACTCTATGCATCATGACCTCTTTATCTTACTGAAGTGGTTTTGGAGCAAAGCTCTTCCCCTGCAGTCTTATGTTTTAAAAAAAGTTTCATTTTAGAGACAAATGTATTTTTCTTTGTTTAGGGCAGCCTCCTTGGGCTGACAATCAGTCAGCAGGAAAATTCTCTTCCTGGCTGGCAACATCATTTTGATGTAATTTTTGTATTTGGTGTCAGCAGACGTCTTGAACAGACTGCTCATGATTGGGTAGGATCATTCACTAAAATGAGAATTCAAAGTGAATTTGATATTTAAGTTAAAAAAATTCACATTGAATTTTCACTTTAGCAAATAACACTGACAGTGTTAAAGTACCTGCTGCCAGGTAATTAGATTTTCTAACTTTCTGATAAAAAAAAAATATATATAGCAAAAACACAAAACATGCAGAGGTCAGAGTAAAATAGAAAACCCCACAAGCTACTTTGTTGGAATTTATACCCCTTTTTTTTAAGTACGAAACTGAGCAAGTAGTTGTCTGCCCCTACTGGACTACAACTCCTATCATTCTTAGTGAAATCCTGTTTGAGACTGGTAAGAGTTAAAATATGCATCATGTATCAGGACAGTAAGACTATCGCTTGCTAAAGTGCTTATGTGTAATAAACTCCAATCAACCTCATCCATTGGTAGGCAGAGCATATTCATAATTGTAGTCCGCAGTAGCAAATCAGCATTTGGCTCAGAAAAAAAACCAAAATGAAAACAGCACCTGATCTAATACTTACAACACACAGAAATAGGCCCTGCAGTCAATTCCCACTACTCTTGCGCAGCATCAGTGGCTACAGCTCAAATGTATGAACAAAAACATAAAGAAGTTGTATCCCAATATGCTATACATATTTATTGGGCCACTTTAAGCACCATAACTGCTACAGCTAAATGTAGTGGTTCTGGTGCAAAGAGACTTTCCCTGCAGTCTCCACAAAGACAACACTGCCTTTTTGAAAAATAAAATAAAAAAAGCACTGTTTACACTGCCTCCTATGACCACCACTCGTGGCTGTCACTGAGACTGATTGTCATGTTTGGCATCTCCATGCTCTACATGGTGATGATGTGTACTCTCCATTGATATGCATTGAGCCATGATTTATTTTTTATTTTTATGAATCTCTAAATCTCAATAAAACCACCCATCTCTATGATAAGCATTGGACTATAAATTTGTCTTTGATGCTTCTCTGCGAGAAGCATTTGACTAAACAATGCACAGTGTTAACAAGGAAATATGTGATGAGCAAAAATGCTGTGCATCTTTTGAGCTGGAAATGCTTATGCAACTAATGACAGGTATGTTTTCAGGATTTGGGAAACATTTGTACACATTTTAGTACAAAAAATAATTTAACTTCTAGATGGTTGGGTTAGGCAAACTCATATTATTGTAACAATTCTTACAAGCTATTGATTTTAAATGGGTTAAAATGAACCACCACTTGCTGTACACAGACATGGAAATGGCAATCAATGTAAAATAAATAAAAATATGAGCCAATCTAATCTCTGTTACAAAACAAATGTCAGCTAATAGCCAAAGCCAAAATACACAATGGATAAGGAATGTTAAAGAAATTATACCACAAAGAGAGTAATTTATATGCACTGTATGTTTGATGAGTAAGTGATTTACTGAACAGCTAAGTAACTAAGCAAAGGCATTTCAAATGCACAATAGAGAATTTGTGTACAGAGTTTAATCTATGTATATTTCATTCTCTGTATATTTCTGCTGATATCTGCAATGTGCTGTTTTGAATATGAAATATTACAGCTCTATGTTAGATTAGCAACCAAAAATAATAACAGAAAAACATAGTCTATAGAAAGAATACAGCAAATCATTTAATAGGACCAATTTATTAAATTATACATTCCTCCTAATATTGCAGATTTCTTCTGTCACATGACCTGTCACATGAGTAATGCTATTTCGAGAATCACAACTGTTTGACTTAATTGATTACAGCTCCTAAAGCAATGCATATTGAAAATGACATACTTGAAGTATCTTTCCTGGTAAAATATTTTTTAAATAAATAGTATTTACCTCGTGAAACCTCGGTTTACGAATTTAATGCGTTCTCCGGGACATTTCTTATTGCGAAAAATGTGTAAACCGAAATGCGGTGTCCCATAGGAATGCATTGAAAACCAATAAATCAGTTCTGGAGGTCAGAAAAAAAGTCAAAATGAGCTGGCATGGAAACCAACCCACAATACAGAACACACAATAAAAGGTATACAAATGACGAAGCTCAGCTCCCTACCTTTCCACAGCTTGAGAAATGCACCAAAAAGTCCCAAAACAACTGCAAACAATTCCCAGAATGGCTCCAAAACTCGATACAAAAGCCGCTCCAACACCTTCACACTCTATGCAACGTGCTACCCACAGGCTCCAGCATGCATGGGGCGGTACTATAAACCTCCCAGGTGCCATGCATCCAGGGGAAATTTGCTTTGTATTGCGAAACAAATTTGCAAACCGAGGCATTATTTTCAATGGGTTTTCATTTGTAAACCGTAAATTATGTTAACCGAGGCGCTTGTAAACGCTGTACTTGCAAATGATATATTTAATTGATTTGAAAGCAATACTCACTTCTTCCTATTTAGTGACGACTGTATTGAACTGCAGAGGTTCATGTGTATAAAAACTAAAAAAATCAACCACTAATCTGTCAATCCTGAACTCCCATTCCAGTTATTAACAATCACTCTTGCTTTCTTCTTTCTTATTGTAATATATAAATATTGTTTTTCAGTGTCTCAAGCATATGGAAGGAGAGCATTGTATCTCCACTGTTTATTGTGTGGGTTTATTATTAGGCATTACCTATGCACTGTGTGTATTTTACTTTTTTTTATTGGTTGATTGTGAAGACCATTGACCATCTTGAGCTGCATATGCACTTTTCTACACTTGCATGTATTATGAAGTACCTGAGCACCTATTCTGATATTTTTTAGTGCTGCAGATGCCTGTAGGCTGGGTTGCCATTTCCCTTGTCTAGGGTTTCACTGGCCCTGTGATCCAACTCCTCATTTCATGGATTGCTCAATCGGAATTTCCACATCCACATTGACAATATTAATTTGCCAATATTGATTGGCTTAGTATTCCAGTTTGCGCTTTCAGCCAATCATTGTTATCCAAATTTGGAAGAACTTGATATTGCTAATGTGGAAGTGGAAATTTCACAATAGCAGTCTGGTAGGCAAAGGGCTGGACCATGCGTTCACTGAGAGGGAACCTTCGTTTGTGTCTACCTACTCAAAAACAATTGGCACTTGTAACCAACCACAACCAACTGTAGCAGTTAATATGCTTAGAGCATCCCTTTCAGCCAAGCCCTAAGGATGACCGAGCCTCTTAGGAAATGTGGTTTAGAAGAATATGTGCCAAACATAGTCATCAATGGTCTAATTCATATATCACTTCAAACTACATGCTATCTGTGAAAAGCCTCCCATGTACGGCTCTGTGGAGAAACTATCAATTCACCAACTATAAAAAGGAAGAAAGCAGGCAAAACATGACAGTGCATTGTATTTTAAACTTTATTTGAACCATTAGTAAGCTTTAACTTATTTAGAAAGCTATATGTAATCCTGTATTTTAAATGTCCTACTTATGGGTCACACTGTACACTAGATGTTGGGACTTATTGATCACAATATAGATTAAAAATATGAACAAACACAGAAACATAGTAAAATATTTTTATAATTAACTAACTGTTAATAGGTTGCATTATTAAATATAAACATGAAAACTGCATGTGTGGAGTATATGAAGGTCTCCTAGTTCTTTTAATTACAGCAGATTTGTAATATATGTTCTTCATTAATAACCATGAATTGCATTTTCTAATTCGATAAACTAGGATCTATGCAAAATATAGGAGCTAGTCAGGAGCAGGACGTTGGGGGCACTGTGGGACCTGGTTCAATCCTGAATCTAAATATATACACATTTGTCTGCCAGTTCTTGACTGATACATTAACAACATAGAAATCTCCTCTGTGCTATCACTGATAAGACTGCCTAGTGGGTTGAGTTGAGGTTTTCACAACAAATAAACATAACTATTTTCACTTGATTCTTTTTTTTCAATGCTATTTTTACATAATATATGTTGTGTTTACTTTTGCCACCTAATGTACTCTCTTTTGTCAGTAGAAAAGTTTCTCCAAGCATGTCAAGTAGCACACGTAAAATCTCAGCACTCAGTAGTTATTATTACATAATGAGGAATACCAGTAAACGTTTAAATCATACCACATGTTAAAGACCTAATGTAGCTTTCCATGTGGGGATAAAATTGGTCTTACTTAACACATAATCAGTTATGTTGCTTTTTTTGTCTATAGTAGCTATTTTTAAGGAATACCTTGGATTACTAAATGGAATCTCTTTTAATCCCTTATGCCAGGAGTAGTGTAATATGGAATCTCCAACTGTTCAGCAGAGTGCTCTGCGAGATCTTTTACCAAGTCACTTGCTTTTCGCTAACACTTATTTATGGGAATTGTAACTGCAATCATCAAGAGATCCACAATTTAGCTATCCCTTTCTAAAATCTCAACATCCACAGTTTAATCATCACCTTCTAAAATCTAGCAGTCCACAGTTTAGTAAATGCAACTCACATCTCATATGTTTACAAATAAACATATCATATGAACTACTGTGATGTATTTAGTTTACTATACTTCCAAGCAGACCTTGTTAGAAAATTACCATCTACTAACAATGCCAAGATCTTGCGAATACCAGTAGATTTGAGTCTGAAGTTTTCAGAGCATCAACTACTACAAGCCCTATGCTCTGTTATTTAGAACTTATTGGTTAACATTTGACTAAATAGACTCAGAAGGAATTTAAAATATTTAAATATCTAACATGAGGTTTTATATTCACAATTTACTTTATGTACACTAGATCAGAATTGTGACCAAAAATGGTGGTATTTAAATTATGATTGACCTTTCATGCTATGCCTCCATTTAATATTTTTGGATAATCTATTCTAAAGATGAAATATTTTTGGATAAACTTACAGAAAAAAAATCAAAATATTATAATATAAAAAATGTATCATATATAACAAAATATCTATATAAAAAAAGATAAAAAATATGAAAATATTTTTCAAAATATAATACCATTTTAAAAGTTTATTAAGATTATCAAAAAAATATTAAACCAAGGCCTATGTTAGCTATGACATATATTCAAAGCTGATGCATCCTCCATTCTTTGTTATGCTGTAATTTCTTGTCTGGCAACAATTTTCTAAAAAGCTATATTGGCATTCAATCTTCTTAGTCATACACCCCAAAAAGCTTTTAGAATATATTTTTCTGCCTAAAAATGAATTCTAATTATTAAAACAAAATGAAATGCAGAAAAATTTATGATCTATGTCTAGAGAGCTTCTGAGTTATTTAGTGGCTTTCACGCTGCAGAACAAATTAAATAGAATGCATCAATTTTGGATAAATGATAAGATGACACTTTTTTTTTTTTAATCTTGTAGAATTACACAAGCTCTAAGTGCAGCCTACCAGGAATATTTTATTTGAAGTGTAGTACACAGATCATAATGTCAGTCTAGGAAAATATCTAAAATCATACATACAAGCAGAATAAAATTGAGGGCCTAAGAATTAAAAACAATATAGATTAGGGGAGTCCAATGGTGCCCAAGCTGCCAGAAAACATTTTGTGTGGATTTAATTTTATAATAGGTTTTATCAAGCCCCTCCATCCTCATAGGTAGCTGTTTGTTGAAGCTTTCTTGAGAGCATCTAGGCATGCCAAAAAATGGGACTAGTTTAGAATCTGCCCTGTTTCAGCAGGTTTTGCACATGCTCAATGATTAGAATTTAGAGCTCCAGGGTCAAGATAAACATGTGATCAACATGATTAGTTCAGTGAATACATTTAAAAGCAAGCTGCAACTGCTTTCAAGTATTCTGCAATGCTGTGACCTGCAAAACTTTCCTCACATGCATACAGAAATCCAGCGTCATGGCAAAGATTCTGCACAGCTTGACAGTGCACGTTATGAGGAGCAAGTTCAAAGCATCTTGTCAGAAACTGAGAAGCGTTTTACTGACTTTACATCCATTGAGCCTGTTGCCAGCTATCTGTGTTTTCCGTTTGGGGAGGTCATCATTGTGGATTACATGGCTTCCAAAGTAGTAGCACTGTTTGAACTGGATAGCTCTGTTGTTGAGAGTGAGATTCTCACACTGCAAAATGATATTGAGATCAAATCCAGGGCAACACCCGGCAAGAAAGGAGACTTCTGGACCTGCTGCTGGAACAAAAATATCCCAACCTCAGAAGATGTACCTTGGACTTGGCTGCACTTTTTGGATCAACTTATTTGTGTGAGACTGCTTTCTCAAAGTACAGATCCACAATGACAGACATTCACCTGGTGGCCTGCCTAAGGCTTGCAACCAGCTCCTACTGCCCTGACTACAAGAAACTAGCTGCCTCCTCCCAATGCCATAAGTCCCATAAGGCAAATGATGCAAATATATCATTTGCATCATTTGCCTCCTCCCAATGCCATAAGGTAGGGAGATACATTTATTCCCACAGCTTTGCAATTTACAAACTACTGTTTATGATATCTGAATGGGGTGTATGTTTATTGTGTGCATGTTAAATGCACTGATAGGCAATGGACACTGATTCCTGTGTGAACTGGTAGATCTCCACGGGCTGGCAACTTTGAAAGTAGATCTTGGCTCAAAAAAAGGTTGGGCACCACAGTTTTACATCATTTAACCCCTTAAGAACCAAACTTCTGGAATAAAAGGGAATCATGACATGTCACACATGTCATGTGTCCTTAAGAGGTTAAAATATTAAAATAAATATTAGGTATGCAGCTTATCATGACAATCTATAGCAGTCTTATAAATCTGCTGGGATTGTGCATGTTAGTTACGGGAATTTTCTGCTGACTAATGCTATTGAATATTTGTCATTGCTTGAAGTACAATACTGTTAAGTGTCTGAACACATAATTCTGCTGCTGTGAAGACTGTTAAATTGCCTATATATTTTTTCACTGCTGAGCTATTTTTGTTTAGAAAAAAATTTATTTGAAAAAATGTTGTTCATAGCTTGCTTTAGACATCTAACACATTGGGATGTAATTATTATATTTCATGTATTTTTTGATTCTTAACAGAAAAGTGGGTAAAACAAAAAATTAATGATTTTAATCATTTACAGTATGTTGCATTTCAGACATTAAAATTATCTTTATTTATATATATATAGAACAATGCCTACATACAGTAAGAACAGACCTTTGTAAATTGCAGACCTCTTATTGCAAGAAAGCCATACAGCATACCCAAAGCACATGCTACCCTCGTCAACTGCTAGAAAGCATCCAATCTATCTCGAGCTATAGATGTTTGTATACAGCATGGGTCGTCAACCTGGTCCCTACCACCCACTAGTGGGTGTTTCAGGATTCCAGGTGGACAGTAGGGATTTCCTCATTTTGAGAGATTGGGCGGGCGGGTGCGAGCTGGCGGTACCTGCGACCTGGTACCCGCCATCACCATTTGCGGCCCCAGAGTTCATCGGGTGGCCCATGCTGTCAGGGCCACCCGCTGGTTATGGATTGTAAGGGGGCCTGGTCAGCGCTGGGCGCTTTAACAGCGCGACCGGGCCCCCTGTGATTATATCACAGAGCTGGGAGGAAGTGACTGCACGTCACTCCTCCCAGCTAACACACAGACCGAGCGGGAGGAAGCAGAGGGAGTCAGAGTTGGAATTCTGACTCCCATCCACCTGAGCCACCACTGAACCCCAGGGAAAGTTACCCTCCTGCACCTAAAAGGTAGGAAACAGGAGGGTGACTAAAATATTGTGTGTGTGTGTGTTTGTTTGTGTGTATGTGTCTTTGTATGTATGTGTCTTTGTATGTATGTCTTGTGTGTGTGTCTGTATATATGTGTATATGTATATGTGTCTTGTCTTTGTATGTATGTGTTGTATGTGTATGTATCTTTGTATGTATGTGTGTCTTGTGTCTGTCTGTATGTGTGTGTATGTGTCTATGTATGTCTTATGTGTGTGTCTGTATGTATGTGTCTGTGTGTATGTGTGCCTGTCTGTTTGTATGTATGTGTGTCTTGTGTGTGTGTGTCTGTATGTATGTGTGTGTGTGTGTGTCTGTATGTATGTTTGCCTGTCTGTATGTATGTATGTGTGCCTGTCTGTATGTATGTGTCTTTGTATGTATGTGTGTCTTGTGTGTGTGTATGTGTGTGTGTGTGTGTGTGTGCCTGTCTGTTATAGTGGGCTATAGTAAGTAATAGTAAGTGGGCTACCTATCTCAGCCTTCCTACTGGGCATTGCTATAAGGAAGGTTAAAAAATAGAAAAATGGGGAAAAAAAGGTGGGGAGGGGAATTGAGGAGGGAGAGGAGGGGAGCTGACGCACAGATGAGAAATCATATTATCAGCAAACAGAGAAGTCGTCTGAATATCACCGAAAGAGGAGACCTTCGTTTGTTCCTTACGAAAATCAAGCCAGATATCAAATATTTAGTCTCACAGCATTAACCTCATGGATCTCATTAATCACTAGTAAAGGTAATTTCAATTTACTTTATTGTTTTCTCATTAAACTTTATAAAGTTAAAAACATTATTAACATGCATTAAGTAAAAATAAAAAGATAAATGTACGTACTTTTTTTTTTTTAAAAACACCCTCCTTCCTAAAAAATATTACGCACTTGCGCGAAAACTGGTGGGCGGTAAGGAAATTTTTCCATCAAGTAAGATGCATTAGTGGGCGGTAGGTAGAAAAATGTTAAGGGAGGAAGGTAAAATCATTTTCAGTCCCTCTCTAGCAGGCTGACAAATTGTCCCCATAGAAGAAAAGCAAATGTTTCTCTGATTAGTGGAAACTTTCACTGACGTGATTGTTGTTTTTTTATTCATTAGTCTTAAAAGAGCAGTAACACTTAAAATTAAGTTATACTATATAATTAAGTTGCATACACATCTTGGCAGATCTGCGTAAACACTGAAAATAAGAAATCACCAACAATATAACTAGCATGATATCAAATATTTACTTTTGTATTTAAACCTTCATATAATGTAGTATTCATCCATTGCATGCATAATACTTAACTTTTATTACAGGGTTGTATTAGCAACAAAGCATTTAATAAAAGATTATAGGATTGTGACGCCACAGACAATTATTTAACAGCTTCAAGAAATGAACGCACACTGTATGATCCCTATTTGATTAGACTAGCCCATTTAATTTGCCCAGAGAAGCTTCCATGAACACATCTGAGGCTTAAAGGGAAATAATACTTAAAAATTACTTGGAATATTGCTTTTACTGTCATAAAATTGCATTTACTGTACCTGTCATTATGAAAGTCTTAACCGGCCTATATTTTTTTTTATAGAAAACTATATTAAAATATGAAATGTAATATGTATGCATGTTCAATTTTACCTTAAAAAATCGTGTTTTAGATCCCTACAAGTCAATATAAAATGGTCAATGTGGAAAATCTTGGATATGCACAGACATTACATCTGAGTAACAAATTCATGTAGCATTATTGCTTAAAGCCCTTGCAAACCAATAACTGCATGCCACAAACACATATTGATATTGTATTTGTTTTCTAAACAACATTTTTTTAGTTAGTGAATTAAAAATCAAGTCCCTTTAGCATACCTGGCAACACTAAAAGGTATGAATTTTGGAGGGAAAAAAAAGAGAGATTTTTAGTAATATGAAGGGCAGGCCCATTTGCTGCATACAATATCATCCCCCCATCCAGGGTAGTCCTTGCACAGAGCACTAACTTGTCTAAAGGTACACTCATACCTTTGACTTATTTGGGTCTTCTGTCTGGTGACCCAGAAGTCCGACACCAGAGATCAAACCCAGAACCCCATTTTGCTTGGGACTGTCCTGCTGAATCAAGGGCTGTTGAGATGTATGCTACACTTTAATGGAATAAATTACAAATTCAGTGTAGATTAATTTAAGATCACAGATTTTTTTTAAATTTTGATCACATCTGACTAGTAGACTTGTGACAAATGCATTTCAGCTGTTACGAACTAATCAAATTCTTTTTAATCTATGTCCGAAAGCATTGATCCATCGGGATTTACCTCTGATATCTAATTAATGAAATAGGACAGCACAGGTAAATCTCAGGTATATCAATCGATTCAACAGAGATTTAGCCCTTTAAAATCTCAGAAACTTTTGTATTCATTGTTTCATTGTCAAAATATGGTTAACTAATGTGTGTAGTGAATGAAATGGTTACTAAATCTAGGTGGTATGATTGATTACAGTGTACTAAGTGTTAATTTGGCCGCTTTTAATAAAGACCTATAAGGAGAAAGCAATGGGTTGAATCTTGTTGGTGCCTGGAAAAATCTGAAATGGTACAGCAATTAGGGTATGTTTTATTTTCCTATTCCTAAACCAAACAGGGTAGAGAAATTTTCTGACTGATCTCCGAGGTACAGTAATATTTACTACCAGACCTTGTCAAATAGATTGTCAGAGAGGGCTTGTGAAATGTTACCATACTTATAATGTATATTGCAAGTTTAATGCAAAAAGGATAATTCACTTGAAGTTTGGGAAGTGATTTTAGAAGATATTTTGTTTTGGCATTCTGGATGAGATATATGTCATGTTTTGTCTTAAATTATTTATCTGGATTCACCACGATGACCTGGCCTGGTCACAAAGATATCAGCAGCATCTGTACAAGGATATAGCTTTGTACATTTTCAGCCAGGTTATCGAATACATTAGCTGCCACTCATAAAACTGGAATTCCTGCAACCCTTGCCCCTCCTCCAAGGACCAGCTTTGTCAATGGGATTAGCAAAAAAGTATATCCAATATAGTCTAAAAACCTAAAGAACACTTCGAGAGCTTTCAGATTTGAAATGGGTTTATATTTTCCTTAAAAAAAAGCTCTTGAAAACAGTGAGTATCAGGTTAATTTGATAAATGACACTTTTTTTCTTTTATCTGTATCTGGTGTATATACCGTTTTTTGTAACTTATTTTACATGTATGCACTGTCACCATTTGTGTTAATAACAAATGTTCTGCCTTTGTCTGATATAAGAATCTTTTTACAGAAGAGACTTATATCATAACTTCTGGTTTTATATGTGTTTTGACTAAACTGTAGGTGTTTAAATTTGATTTGGTGGAATAACCTAAAGTGCCCCATTTAAAAATTGCCTTTGTGGTGTTTGGTGGTAGCTATGATAGGTGTGGTGAGGTTAAGAAAGATTTTTACATAATTGTTTTCAGTCTTGTGCAGAAAAAATTGTGATTTTGTTTTTTAAACCTTTAACCCATGCATGTTTGGATTAGTGGTGTTTTGTGAGACCCTAACAGTAGCAAAACTCATAAAAGTTATTGTCCACTTGCACAAAATCACCATTTTGCATTGATGTCATTTTCAAGTTTTAACTGGAATCCTGTCATCAGTTTGGGAAGGCAGGAAAGCAAGTCCTTTTTCAAATTACTTGGCATAACTTGATAATAAGGTTCTCAGTGGAGTACATTACATAATAAGCAGAACATAATATATGTAATAAATAAAAAAGATCTATGATTTCTAGGCGTTGATGTAATAAAATATAAGAGTAATTGCAAAACAGGTTAGTTAAGGGGTGTGCCAATAATGCAATGCATGTCACTGATGACATGGTATAGGCAGGTCCTCCTAAAATTGAGCAGTGTCAGCACTTTATTTGCGCAATGTAAGCACATGTAATCTATGTTCGCAGTTTGCTTATTTGAGACATTGGGGACACCAGAGAACAAACATGGAATGGCAGGACTGAGGAGTATGAAATGTTTATGCTTCCCTTGTATGCATATGAGGAAACAGAGCACATTTTCTACAGGGCTTATTCAATAAAATTGAAATTGTAGTAAACTAAATCAGATGTGAAAAATTAACAAGAATTCTCAATTTAGTATATAACCCAGTAAATGTTACCATGTAGATTTCATTTTTCTACAACCTTGAGCTCAGTGAATATCCATCCTAGACTGCAAAAAATGCCTTTTAGTTTCTTAACAACAGATGAAACGCCTTTTAACCTGCACACAAACTAATTTCTATTTCAACATTTAATTCAATCTCTGAGGTAAAATATTTGCAGAGCAAGTTTGGCCCAACAAACATGGCGACTGCATAGCAGAATCCAGACCAGGTTTTGCAGGTTTAGCTCTCACTATAACAATGAGTAGATGAAATAACCTATTGCTAGTCTCAGGGACCTATAAACTGAAGTCAATGGTAAACTCTGTCTTTAATACTCCCAAGTGATAAAGGAAAAGCTGCTGAAAAAGAGGCTGATAAAATAGCTTGTTAGATCTCTTGCTTATTGTAGAGCAGACTTTCTGCAGTCAGGGAAACTACCTCTTTATAAAGCACCAACAAACTCTGCAGTGCTGAACAATAGGAGGACTAACAAACAAGCAGCTGCCACAAGACAAGTTGGAAACACAGACATAGACAGTGCTGAGGGCACTACTCAAAATAAAGCTTATATTCAAAGGTTAATGCTGAGATGTAGAATTGTTACACTGAAAGAGTTTAATGCAACTGCATGATTCAGCATACCAGTGTAGTGCTTTAATTGTCAAAAAGAGACCATAGTTAGCCACAAAGTCTCTCAAATTGTTAAAAGTTTAACCCATCACACCAATAAAAAAAAATAACAAGTTAAAGGGACTCTCCAGTGCCAGGAAAACATATCCGTTTTCCTGGCACTGAAGGACCCTACAGTGCCCCTCTCCCTCCCACCCCCCATCCCAAGTTGCTAAAGGGGGTAAAACCCCTTCAGTGATTTACCTGAATCCAGCGCCGATGTCCCTCGGCACTGGGTCAGGCCCCGCCCATGCTCCTCCCCTGCTGACGTCAGCAGGCGGGGGAGACCTAATGCGCATGCGCGGCAATGGCCGTGTGCGCATTAGACCTCCCCATAGGAAAGCATCATTCAATGCTTTCCTATGGGGATTCTGGTGACGCTGGAAGTCCTAATGCATAGTCTGATAGACAGCCACTATAGGAGGAATTAACCCTGCAAGGTAAATATTTCAGTTTATAAAAACTGCAATAATTACACTTGCAGGGTTAAAGGTGGTGGGAGTTGGTTAAAGGTGGTGGGAGTTGGCGCCCAGACTACTCCAATGGTCAGAAGTTATCTGGGTGCCTGGAGTGCATTTAACCACGCAAAGCAAAAAAAAAAAAAAAACACGCTTTGTTCATCCAGTGTTTATATTTCCCTGTTAGTTTTTTTTTTTTGCTGTGATATTTAACCAAACTGTGTACTGCCAAACATTATGAAAAAATATCACTGCTCACAAATTAAAACGTCTTCTCTTTTATTGGCAAAGTGGCAGCTGTCTCCTTTTGAGTTATAATGATAATTGAATTCAGCATGTACACATTGATCCTAGTGATTTATTTTCCAATTCATAATATTAAGATATGTATAATATCCCATTCTGAATCTGCTTTCTCAGATGAAACAAAAGTGCAACATTTTGGGCAAATTGTTATTTTTTCCACCATCCATTGGAGCTACTAAACATTTTCAATGTATATGGCATTATGATTATTTTGCATGTATTGATTTCCATATGGCTTTGGTTTATGAACCTAGCTCACATACATTTGGGGTAATAATTTGTTTCGTTAGCTCAGACAGAATAATTTCACAATGCATTTTAGTGGTAAGGTTTCTTTTACAAATGACAAACATATGTAATTAAACCAGTTTACTCATTGGCTTACTTTGTCAAACTGATTGGGCAAATTAAAGTACTTCTAAATGAGTCATCTTCCCTTTAACTTTCTTTACTAACATATGTCATGAAGGACACTAACCTTTTGCAAGGGTTAACGTTTGCACAGTTATGAATATTTTGCATAGAACCTGTATGTATTATTCAGTTACTTGCCACACATTGCTACAATCCATTAGAACCTTAAAAAATCCCTACATCTGTTATATACACCTCCTAGCAAGTAAACTATGCCTTCTAAAGAATTAACCTTTTAAACGACAGGTTTGTAGCCGCTGACAGTTGAGAACATTATATAGAGATGAGTAAGATAGTGTATAGATATAGTGTACCTGCCAGTTCCAAAATGTGTGGATGGTCATTCATTAACCCCTTAAGAACCAGTGATCTAATCTGTCTCAATTCTATTTTTAAGATAATATTCCTATATGTCATAGTTCCCACAGCAAAGTGTAACATTTGGTCTTTAAGGTGTTAAAATGTATATTATAATATTATTATTATAGATTATGATAATCAATCAACAGCAAAATGTAATTTTGTATTCACTTTACATTTGATTCCTGATTGGTGAACTCAGTTGTATATTTACTTGCTCCAAAATGCATATTCACTAAACTGAGAATTTCTAGGAATGAAAAATAATTTTCTAATACTTGGACAATTGTTCTACTTTGGCCTCACTTTTGAAATTCACTTTGAACTCCTGGTAAGTACTTTAGTGAGTCACCCTTTCTCTAAAAATAGCTTGCAGCAATAAACAAAGCAAGGAGAATGCATGCAAATTCAGGTATATGCTACTATTATACCAATCACATGGGTACTGGAGCATCCGAATGATCACAATTGTTAGTCCAAACATGATTGTCATAGGAAAAAAAAGAAAGATGCACTGCAATATCCACCATGGAATAACATATTACACAATCATAGAATTTTGGCTAGTACCGTTTATAATCTATTAAGTGATGCCATGTTATTTTGTAAGACAGGTGCTTTATAAAATGAAGACAATGAGGGAGATAAATATTTCTACTATTTTTAATATTTAAGCATGGTCATGTTAGCTCTATTTCTGCCTCTAGGCTTGGTTGGAATGTGCTAAGTTATTTAAATGGGCCTTACATGTGTAAACTAGAAGGGACAGTATTGAGACTGGATATTCTCACATGACAACTTTTTACAGCACAGAAAATCCCAAAACAGAATGGCTGAAAATAAAGATGCAAGAAGTCATCTAATAAATGTACTTTTCCCGTTTATACATTTTAACAGTTGTTGCCTCTTACAGGTTCTTACCATTTTTATGTGATTACCATTTTTATTTGCAGACACATAATGTGTACAGTTGAATTATTTTACTCAAAAAACATATCTTGACATTAACCCCACCCCAACCCCTATAACCATGTTTGTAAGAAAAAAAAAAAAATTTCTGAATGTTTCAGGGTGAAGTTGTGCTGCTTTATTCTAAGCTGCAAAATATGCATGCATTCCTTAACATACATTTAGAATTCATGGTACGCTTTAGTGAAAACATCCTTGGAATGCAAAAAAAGACACATTTGATAATCCCACTGTTATTATATCCTTGTTAGAATAAGATACGCTCTGTATTTGTAGCCTTGAACACTTTACCACGACAAACATCTTCCAGTTAAAATGTAATAATGCTACCCCCTCCAAAAAGTAATACATTGCATGAGCTATAAAACAAAGCACGTGCAAATCAGATCCGCATCACATGTTTTCCTTTCAATATTTGCCAAAAAACAAGATAGATTTTCAGGACAGACGTGTTTCGAACTGATTTTAGATATGCTATGATAACACACATATATATCTCTTAAGAACAAAATCCAGCTCTATGGCAAATTATATTCACTCTTCAAATTAGATTTAAATTGTTAGCATAACACAAAGCTCAGGGAGAACGGACCTGCTGAGCATTAACGAAGAGAAGATGAATTTACAGTGCTCCTGGGGCCCTCAGAAATCCTCAAAGATTTAACAATGATTGTGAATGAGCATGCAAGTGTGTAAGATATGGCTTAGTCTTCCCAGTTAAACAACAACTCCCATGATCCTTTGCCAGACTACAAAAGGTAGAGAGTTGCGGTTTTTGTTTACTGTTAAATAGCCTTGATTGCATAGTTCTGATATGAAGTGTGTGACTATAAAATGGCACTGCAACATATATGAGCAATGTTATTGTGTACCCTGTTTGAGAGGTGCTTTTCTAATTGTATTGCCAAGTAGGGGATATTGCCTAAAATCAAGTAAAATTTAATGTACAGACAAAGCACAAACATTATTCAACTTAAAAGCTTAAGCTTAGAAAGTTTATTGTATGTAGATTGCAGTTGTACAACTGTAACTGGTACCACTTTCTGAAGCTCTGCCTATCCTTGAAATGTTTCCTGGCTGCTATTTCCATTAAGACAGTATATTATATATCGTCATCAAATCTTTAGAGTCAAATACAAAGTAGATACAGTATAATACATTATTAAAAAGATCTTGTTAAATAAATTAACTCACTGCTGCCCCCACAAGCCCTTACAGATAATTATTATTATCATTTTATTATTTATATAGCGCCGGCAAATTCCGTAGCGCTGTACAATGGGATAATGCAACAATTATCTACACAAAGTGATTTAGGGAGGCATGACTGGGAAAAAAACAGTAACTCTTGCATTGCCCAAGAACAGTGTTGCTCACAAACCTGCTTTCAAAGGTTTCAGCTATTGGCATGTGAAACATTTTAATTTTTACATGTTTCTTACCTTTTTGGAGAAAGGTGGCTTGCTGAGGTTGACTCCATCCCGGATTAGTTTATCCCTTATCATGATCTTTAATTTCAGTTTTGGATAAGTAACCAGGTTTTTGCTAAGGTGTCCGGTCTTGTTACTCCTTTGCACCGGTTTGTGTCCCTGAGCTTCTTTCCAGGCTTTGGTTTCATACTGCTCCACCAAATGGCTGGTATAGATGTCAGGCATAGGGGAGGCTACCTGTGGCTCCAATGTAAAATATAATCCATTTGCAGCTTCTTTCTCCTCTTCCCTTAGTCTCTGGACAGCATCGTGTATCTTTTTGCGGTGCTGCGGGATCATTACCCCAATCGCATCCAAATCAGGGTCACCAATCTGCTTGCAAACCTCCAAATCATCATAACCATTATCCACAAAAGATTCCGTGTACTGAGAAAGCTGTAAAGTTTTAAGCCACTCGTATACAATATTGGCACACATTTTGAAATAATCAGTTTAACCTTGAAAATAATGTGGGGGAAAATCTCAAAAAATAAAGCTATTGTGCTTATTCGCAAAAGAAAAAGTATTCTAAAAAATAAGCCATATAAAAAAAAAAATTATAAAAAAATAAAAGCAATTTATCTGGATATTTCAGTTTTTCTAGAAACCAGCCAGTAATTCAGAAATACCAGTTATCATCACATAAAGCATTGCCCAGGTACACGATAGTACGTGTCATTCTGCAGTCAAAGATGAGACTCTTCTATTGCGTTGGCATTTAAATTCCAAAATTGTTCAATCCACATCAATCCAATTTGTTCAGATTTGAAAAAAAGTACGTACATGTATATTCTTCCAAAATGCTTTTCTTCAATTCCACTAAAGGATGAACCGATTTAACCTCAGCTGTCTATTGCTTTTATGGTATATCACTGATAGACTAAGGCACCACCCTTATGTCATGGTGCTAAGTATTTCGCAAACAAGTTTGTCTGAAGCCTGGAATTCCTACTTATTTAAATCCATACCTCACGGTGCATTCAGTCTTGCTGCTTTAATATGCAAGAGAAATCCTGAAAGTCTCTGCCTTCCACTTTTTTTCTGGATACTTTTCATTCCTCCTCCTGCTATGTCTCCATCATTGGGATACCAGACACACTTCTCACTCCTCCAGCCGTCAATGCTTTAAAAGAAACTCAATATTTTTCCAGGTTGATTTATCCGTTGTGGTTTTCTCTGTCATTCTGTAACTCCACCCTCCTATTTATTTTTATAACATGGTAAAATAGTTCCTTGTAGCCTCTGCTTGTTTCCTTTCACAATACCCAGAGTAGGTTATTTTTTATTTATTGCTCCAGATTACATTTGCAGCCGCTCTGGAGAGAGAATTACTAGTGCAGTTCAGCCATCAGCCTGTGCTATGTGTGTGTCTGTGTGGGGAGGGGACTTTGATTCAAGATTAATCTGCCAGGCTATACAGCAGGCAGTTTAGCTACGGACAATCTGTTTCCATAATGGTATTTACGTGAGTTGCTCTTCTTTAACACGTAGAAACATTGTAAGCTTCTATTTAGTTATCCTTATATATATATATATATATTATACCCTTATATATCAAATATATCATCTATCTGGAGTATTTATTTAACCCTTTCATGGAAAGCCATTGAAATATTTGCAGAATTGTTCTCATATATTTCAAATATGAACAGAACAGGGAGACAGAAAATACGAAATGGGAGTGGGAAATTTCCTTGTAACATTTCTTAAAATTGTTCTGGAATTGATTGATAGAAACCAGAGCATGTATGAAATGCAGTTCATCACCTTTTCTGTTTTAATACATGTAAATAAATGCATTTCTGTATAAAGAGAATAGGCTTGAGTTGATTTCCCGCGTGATTGTGAGAAAAAGCAGAACAGAATCCAACCTACTGTCATATTTTATCAGCATGAATGTCTATGCCATTAAGTGCTGGAGTTTAAAACTCTTTCACTTGAAACAAATTATTTTTTTTCTACATTTGTTTTTCTTGTAAACATTTCCCATGCGTTGATAAACGAGATTTTTAAAAATTCAATTAATTCCAAACTAGAATAAGTTAAAATGTTACAATTTAAGCAAATAGACATGATATATAAATTGCCTAAATTATAAATTCATAATATAACTGGAAATAAAAAAGATTTAAAAGCTTATATAGTTAAGGGAAATCGAGAACCACTCCTTGGATGAGGAAGGATAGCAGGACAACCACATTAGTAGTTTGCCAGATGCTGTAAAACTACAACTCCCATGATGCTTTGCATGCCTCTAGAATGCCATTAGAATGACAAAGCATCATTGAAGCTGTAGTTTTAAAACATCTGGCGGAACACCTCTGCTATATATGATAATCATTCACTTAGTGGGTCTCTCCTGACTAAAGGTAGGAAAGCTGAAATCTTACACTATCAGTTTTATTCACAAAAGTGAACGTAGCATTTCAGGTTAAAATAACTGAACTGGAAAAACTTTCTAAGGCAGTTATGCTTTCAGTTTGGCTGCTCTGGCCTTAAAGTTGAAATTCCCTTTGAATTCTGACTTTAGTAAATAACCTTGTATATATGTTAATCCTGTATCTCTAACATTGAGATTTTAGTGATTAGCTTCATTGATGACAAGCATTTGAGAATGTTGTCCAGAGCTTTAATGTGCTTTAACTGTGTTCGTAGTTAGCTGCACCCTCTCTGTTATTCAATAAAGCCTGTCAGTAATTTATAGTATTGTGGAGGCAGTATAAAGCTCAGTAAGGTCCCCATATGGCTTAGATCCCACCTTGCATTTGATAACATCGCACATTAGATGTAGTCAAATACTGGACCATAAGGACCACAGCTACCATGAACGTTTCTCATGATTTACAGTACTTTTGGGTTTCAACTATTTATGGGAGTTGTATTCCATCAATTGAATGCCTGACATTTGTCTACTCCAGTTCTTCAGAAATAAAATATAATGGAACTATACAAACAACTTAAATATTACCACACTATATGGTAATTGTCTTAGAAATTATATAACCTGCCTGAGAGCAGCTTATTCATACCATTTGAAATGAGTTCAGCCAGGAGCCTATCTTGCTCCTTTGCTAGATAGGGCTTAGATGTCGTATCTAATTAATAATTGTATTTATGTAAATTGCATGCACCAAGGTTTCAACATTCTTTTTTGTTAAAAAGTAGAAGGCTGTGTCAAGTGTTTTCAAAACCTAAAGAACATCTGCTTCTAAACTTGTTTTAGACTGGCAAACAGCTGCCTTTCAAAGAAGGACAGGGCAGCCCTGTTTATTTACAGTATTATCACCTTGTCACAAAACACACTAACAAAGCTTGTATTGTTAAAGAAAAACATGGCAACAGCGGGGATTTTTTGTTATTGTATCCGATGGTGTCACTAAAAAAAAAGTGCACAGTCAGGGTCTAGACACTTCCTTTTTGAACTATTCATGCCTATGTTCATCTATGTAATGGTGCACTGTCAGTTTTTGCAGCAATGTACTATATAATATAACTCATAAGACCTGACTACAAATGTTTGAATATAACTGTTAGAACTGGACCCGGTAGCATATGAGCTGGTGAAAAGTATAAAGAGAAACTGCAACATCCTTGGCATTTACACAGTTAGGTAAAACAGTAAAGTCATCTGCATGTGCTCTGTTTTCATTTATATTTATATTAAAAGCTTAGCAAGTAGCATCATATTCCAGTTCAGACAAGGAAAAACAAGCATTGCAAATGTGGAGTGGAAACAGAAAAATTGTTTTATTTCTCCTCTTCTCTGTCTGCTTACTCTATACTGACTGCCAGGTGGAAAGGACTGTGCTTATAACAATGACTGACAAGGAGCTAAGATGGAGTCACCAAGTTTACAGGCTAAATAGAAGTGGATTTCTACATTTAATTATATATTTTTTTCACATCTCATAAACATACACTGATTAGCCACAATTAAAACCAATTGCCTAATATTGTGTAGATCCCCCTTCGTGCTGCCAAAACAGCTCTGAGGCATTAAGGCATGGATTCCACAAGACCTCTCAACGTGTCCTGTGGTATCTGGTACCAAGACATTAGCAACAGATCATTTAAGTCTTGCATTAGAGAGCAATTCCATCAGGGAACACCATTGGCATGAAGGGGTGTGTATGGTCTACAACAATTTCTAGGTAGATGGTACATGTGAAAGTAACATCCACATGAATGCCAGGACCCAAGTTTTCCCAGCGGGAAATTGCTCAAAGGACAACACTGCCTACTTCCCATAGTGCATTATGTTGCCATCTCTTCGCCATGTGAACAATGCAAACACCATGGGCCATCCACATGATCTCAAAGAAAATATGATTCATCAGATCTTCTATTGATCTATGGTGCAGTTTTAAGGCTCATGTCCCCTTGAAAGGCACTTTTGGTGGACAAGGGTCATTATGGGTACTCAAAACCAGTCTGCTGTTACACAGCTTCATACAAAGCAAACTGTGAAGGTTCTGACCCATTTCTATCATGGTCAGCATTATTTTTTTGAGCAATTTCAGCTACAGTACCTCACAGTCAGCAGACACTTCCTGGGAGGGAGGGTCTGCTGCTGATTGGGTGGAATGTGTCTGCTGGCTGTGAGGTTCCGGGTCACAGTTTACTCAATGATGACGTATAGGGGGCGGACCGGAAATCGGATATGTTCGCCCAACGCGAACACGCTATTGTTCGCCGGCGGACAGTTCGCGAACAGTTCGGCGGACAGTTCGCGACATCTCTATTCAGTTATTGGGCAGATGCATAAATCCTTTCAAAAGTTGTTTAACTCTGCCTTCTGATTTATGCAAGTATATTTACAAATTATGTAACTGGACAATTTATTATATATTATAGAAAGCATTGTCCTGGCATTGGTTTGTGGCATTTAAAGACCTATTCAAATGTACTAACAGTTAGTATAAAAACAAGCAAGCAAACAAAGGAAACAAACATTAGGTAAATGCATTTGATTTTATTTACCTACATATGTCACATTTGTCTTCATGTATCTAATGTCTTCATGAAAATGCACACCGTGTCCTGCTCATGTATTTTGAAATAAAAACATCTAAAAAGTATAAAATATTAAAATAGTTAATATACGATTCTTGGCAAACTTAGTATCCACTACTACAGATTTCATAACATATTGAAAAATGTCAGTTGCCTATGTCTCAATCATGGGAATAAAATAGCTTTATGCCTGCTAGCTATAAACAATTTGGCTACAAACATAGAGCTAAAGCAGGTATAAAGTTAGTCATGGTCTATCAGAGGCCAGCTGTTTCACTGGTGTTTCCCTGCATTTACCCATGGGCCATCACCAATATAATGGGTTTGGCTGGGCTGTCAATATCATGTTTAGTGAATAAACTCCTATTGATATTTATTTGATAAACCTGAGAATTATGAAGAATTGTCAAGTAAATGTTTGCCGATATATTCAGAGGAGAAGAGATGTAAAGAGATCACTATAAAGATAAACGAGTATACAGCAGGTAAAAAAGTGAAGCCTTTTTGCAAGTAAAAAACATAAGGGAAAGGGGGGAACATGTGCAAATCAAGTATTAAAGGTAATACTGAAATTGAGAAGGAATGACGGGTCTGAAATCAAAATATAAAACAGTGGCGTAAAATTTGCAGGGGTGCAAAATTTAAATTTCAATGTAAATTCCTATTAAATGGTATCTTAATGGTTCTTTAGTAGCGCTGATAGTTACATTGCTTAAAGGACCACTCTAGGCACCCAGACCACTTCAGCTTAATGAAGTGGTCTGGGTGCCAGGTCCTTCTAGGGTTAACCCATTTTTTCCTAAACATAGCAGTTTCAGAGAAACTGCTATGTTTATGAATGGGTTAAGCCTTCCCCCATTCCCTCTAGTTGCAGTCTCATTGACAGCCACTAGAGGCGCTTGCGTGCTTCTCACTGTGATTTTCACAGTGAGAGCACGCCAGCGTCCATAGGAAAGCATTGAGAATGCTTTCCTATGTGACCGGCTGAATGCGCGTGCAGCTCTTGCCGCGCGTGCGCATTCAGCCGACGGGGCGGATCGGAGGAGGAGAGGAGGCAGAGAGCTCTCCGCCCAGCACTGGAAAAAGGTAAGTTTTTCCCTTTTCCCCTTTCCAGAGCCAGACGGGAGGGGGACCCTGAGGGTGGGGGCACCCTCAGGGCACTATAGTGCCAGGAAAACTAGTATGTTTTCCAGGCACTATAGTGGTCCTTTAATTTTTTTAAATCCACTATACACTTTACTTTGGGCGTGAGGTGGATTTTAAAAATTACACTGACGGACCACCTGCACTCCGACCGGGTACCTCCATCAATCGCTGCTTCCTAGTACTTGTGGGCACCATAAGCACTGTACTGGAACACCATAACCACCGTAGACCGCACGAACCGCCGCAGCTTGGTTGGGGTCTCGCTGTCCTCCACCCGAGACCAGGGTCCAGCTTCCAGTGGGTTGACCTCTCCTAGTCCAGAGAGCGTAGCAGGAACAGCTCTTATAAGAGCTAGTGATTATACTCAGGGGAGTATTGTGATATAGCAATTCCCAGAGTGTATGTATTTCTCCAATCCCCCAAACATGAGCCAAGACTTCAAGAAGGGGTAAACAAATCTCAATTTAATGGGAGCCACACTTGGCCTTTTATGACAATCCCCATGCAAGGGGTACGCCCACAAGGACCTTGTTTGGGACTCCAACATAAAGACACAGATCAATAAGAACAGTGATTAAATGCCCGACACTCCCATAACAAAAATACAATCCCTCCTTCCTGCTTGGGAGATAATTGGATCAGTAACTGTACTAATTCTAATCCAATTATCTCCAAGAACAGAAAAAACATACTTTTTAAAAACACCCCAAAGGTACCCTAAAAATACATAAAACCTCACAAATGTTATATCCCCTGATAGCCCTGATCTGGGTGACCAACATATCCAAAAACCATCCAAATCAGTTCAGGGGCTCAGAAATTTTATGGAAGTCATAGTTTTTAGCTGAAAATAGTTCCATAGAATCGCGGCTAAGTGCTGCTGGAGGACCGACCAGGAATTGCGATGTTTTCATGCCAAAAATAGTTCCAGGGCATTTGCGGCTAAGTCCCCCTGTAGTCTTTTCGCGGTTTTCGTCCATGCAAACAAGATGGCCGCCACTTCGTGGTCATCCATAGGAATTGCAACCACCCAGACAAACACTTAGACCACAGAGGTGGAAACTGCAACCATGTATCAATTAAGCTTAACAAGCTCCAGGGTGGTCTCCGGTTCATGCGGCTGTTCGGTAAACAACCCATATAGTCCCAATTGCACGAACAGAGCCTGTTATAAGTCCAAGAGGCACAATTGGTGTTTTCAAATAGGGTTTAACACAGGGGCCATAGTCACAGGGTAGGAGGCTAGCAAACAGGCCCCTCCAAAAACTAGTGGCGAGGTTACTTCCGTCACATACACAACTATCAGTGTGACTTACATCATGAAGAAGAGGCTGGTAGGAAATGAGGAGTGAGGTGCCAGTTAAGGGACTCAGTGAAGTGCAAAGAGTCCACGGGTTGGAGGGCACAATACTTGCTTGCCCTGGGCATTGGCAACTCACACTACACCACTGGCATAAAGTACTCAATGGAAATAGTGGAATGCCAGTAAGCTGTGGTTAAGTGAAGTAAAGGAACTGGGACTGAGGTGAAATTTACATTTCAATTCACCACATACATTTATACATTTCTTATACATTATACATTACATTTCTTTCCTAAATCTGGGAATTATGGAGAATTATCAATACAATTACAAATGTTATTCCAAAATAATTGAACTATAAAAATAGGACACTGAGAATATTGTCCTAAAAATAAAGAATACTTTCATCATTTTTATATTTATCTACCAATTTTACTCAATTTCCACTTTACTTAATAAAGTAGTGTTTTCCTTTGTCTTACATGATGAAAGGTTTCTTCTATACAAAAACATATTCTCGTGCTCTATTATTGAAAGATGTTCGGGCTCAGTTAAAGGGACACTATAGTCACCAGAACAACTATGGCTTATTGCATTTGTTCTGGTGAGTAGAATCAGTACCTTCAGGCTTTTTGCTGTAAACACTATTTTCAGAGAAAATACAGTGTTTACATTACAGCCTAGTGATAACGTCACTGGCCACTCCTCAGATGGCTGCTAGAGTTGCTTCCTTAAGCTGTCTTGCCTAGTGTGCATCACAACATATCAGTGTCTCCACCCTCTGCATGCAAACACTGAACTTTCCTCATAGAGGTTGATTAATTCAATTCATCTCTATGAGGAGATGCTGATTGGCCAGAGCTGTGTTTGACTTCTGTTGGCTCTGCCCCTGATCTGCCTCCTTCACAGTCTCAGACAATCCTATGGGGAAGCATGGTCTATCAGAGGCCAGCTGATTCACTGGTGTTTCCCAGAATAACACTTCTGATGATGTCAGCAGAAAGCTTGCAGGTCTGAGGCAGACAGGAGCAGAGCCAGCAGCTTCATGCTTAAATACAAGTAAGATTTTACTATATTTAGGGAGGCAAGAGAGGGCCAGGGGGGCTACATGGTGGTTTTAACACTATAGGATCAGAAACATATGTTTTTGTTCCTGACCCTATAGTGCTCCTTTAAGGTAGGTTTTTAAAAATTATTATTTTCATTTACTCATTATGTTTACAATGTATGAGATGTATTTCTTAAAAAAAAATGTATTTCAATTCAGTATGATAATTGCATTTTTAGCATGCAATTATTTTAGCATTCACATTTGAGATAATCACAATACAATTTTGTGTTATTTCAAAGTTCTCATTTTATCTGCTCTGGTTCTTATGCTTGCATTTGGTTTTAGCATTCTGCTGCATGGAGAAAATATATGTGCAAGGTCTTCTGTGTCATATATTTACAATTAGCGTTGGAAAAACAATACAATTTAGATTACTAGTCCTTTCATTCATGTGTTGGAAGATATTGGTAATAAGTTTGAACTTTGATTAAAAACGAAGGACATTTCATTTGAAACCCCCTTCACCTATCACCATGTGACATTCTGTAATTCAATCCTACCACGCTTTATCCCCAGGAAATTTCATCGGGATTCATTATTTGGTTCCTTTCATCTCTTTGTAAAATCTGTCCCTCTGCAGGTTCTATTTATCTCTAAAGCAACAGCATTCCAATAAAGAATAGAGTTACAGTGCCCCCTATCAACCATCAGTCAGAATGTACCTATGAACACTGTGTGTCATCATGTAATCCTAATAGATTTTTGAAATACTATTCTTGATAATTAAACAAGCTGTTAAATTACACCATAGAAAACAAAATTATATTTGGAAAAAACAAAGATACGTGTGCATGTGTGACAAATAGACTCATATTTCAGACATATTTAGTAGAATGTACAGAAAACCAGGCAAAACAAGGTTATCTTTTAGAGGTTGAATTTAAATTCTGATGTTGGAGTTCTTAACAAACCTCTTGCAAAATTAACTCACAAACCATTACAAAGACAGTACAAGAAGCTCAGTTGATTAAAGTGACCATGAAAGCTTATTAAATGTAAAGTGAAAATAAATACTATTACATGTAATAACCTTACAGAGACAATGTTATAGAACCAAGAAGCAGATTCATACTCACCATTAATATCTATACTGCACATTCCAGATAAAAATACATTATACAAAGACCTGAGCAGTTTTCATGTAAATTTTGCTCAATTTAAGTAAAAGTAAACTTTTTCATTAATTGTTTTGTGTAATATGCGTGCAAATCTGATTTAATTATCTCATTAGCTCTTCACATGTAGTTCAACAAACAAACAATCTATATGTATGTCATTTGATGAACCAAAAGGCAATCCCAGATATGTCCTGAAAGTATAATTACTTTTCTCTTTAAATGAATCTCATTGTTATTGGTTATGATACCTCAGTGGACAAGGCTCATATGGTATTTTATAATGAAATATTAAATTCCCAGAAAGGTCAACACAATCTTCCATTATTCTAAGGCCAATAAAATAAGTATGATTATGTTGGGTTGATCTAGACATCGAGACATTCTAGGAAAAAAGCCTAAGTGTAACTTTCCTGGTTAAATAATTTCATTTTATTATTAGTATTATTATAAACCTATAAGTACAACAGATACATAAATATAATAATGAAATAAATCATTATCATCTTACTGTCAGCATAAAGCATCAGGAGGGATGCCCTATTCAGCAAATGGGACTTCGTACTGAGGTAGGCATTTCCCCCAGTTCCTCCATAAGTTTAAAGGGAGAGGTTAAACAACAATTTTATCCCCAGATGTGGTAAACACTTTGATGAAATTTAGGAAATGTTCTCCCTTATCTACCTACTATCGAGTAAGGGATGCTTTCCTAGCCTGGCCAAAATCCAAAAGTTGTCAGGGGTGGTGGTCCGGTGACCGGGATCCAGTATGCCTGATCTTGATATTAGGAGTCACTGTGTG